TAATAAATAAAAAAAAACATTACATCTTTATAATACATAAAATAATTTCTTGAAATAACATAATATAAATAATAATTACATTATAAAAAACATTGAACAATAACAATAATAATATTTACTCACTTTTTAATAGACATTAAATTACATCACTTAGTATCATCCATAATTTCCCTTTTTAGTTAGGCTGATTTATGAGCATTCTTAATTTTAAAAATTCTGGAAAACTAACAACATTTTTACTTTTGTTTATAAATATGTTGCAAAATAAAATCCCTACATTTGCCTTGATAAAATCCATCAGAGAATGAAAAGAAAAGTTGTCCTTTTGGTTTTTATTCATATATACGTTGATGTATGTGAAGGTTCTGAATGTCTTCTCTGCAAAATATCTGAAAAATTTGCTCAAAAAATATCCATCTCTGGAGGCAATTGGATTTCAGAGAACTGATTCCTTTTTTATTGTACCATTTGTTCTAATGTGGATTTTAGAGTCTATTTTATCTTTCCATCAGCTTTCGTTGTTCTCAAAGTATCAGGAATTAGGGTCTGCTTAGAGTGACCTTTCCATGGCTGGTTTCAAATCTACATAGAAAAGTGTTTGGCTTTGTTTATTTCCTTGATAAACTCTTTTTAAAAAACTTGTCAAAAGAGTCCAACCTGACCCTTGATTCTCAGGAAATTAAATTTGCAGTAAATGTGTCACTTCCCTTTGATCTGTGTGGGCACATTTATAGAAAGAACATGTTTTTCTTTAATGTGGTATTCATTCTGGATTGATCATAAAAATATTCAATTCCTGCTAAGTTTTATTCTGTCAAAATACCTATTGTGGTGTCCTATCACAAAAAACCTAATTTGTTTTGAAGAATTCTCATACAAGAACAAAACTATCAAATATATAATAATAATAATAATAACAATTCCATTTTAGATGCTTTATTCCTTCAAGCTCTTCACAGCTTCATTCTCTTTGATACCTGTGAATGGCCATAACTTGATAGGAAAAATAATGAAATGGTTTCCCATTGCTTTCACTACAGTTTTGAATTCAGAGCATTCCTTCTCCTAAACTGGCTACCAAGCAAGTCTCAATCTAACCCATTATTTAACTCAAAGCTGAGAAGAAATTTATTCATGCCTTTTCCCAAGTGAGTTGTCAGAATTTCAGTTTGGCATGTGGATTACATTTTCTTCACTGATAGCAGCTACGCTACCTGTCCATCTATAAAATAAGAATAGAATCAATATATATCAAAAGCAGTATGTTTCCAAAGATCATATTTCCCAACATCAAATAAATTACATAAAATAAATAAACATTAACCTGTAGAAATCAGAATAAATTTTCAAAACTTATAATGTCTTTGACTCTTTGATATAAATTTCAAATTTTTTTGAGGATGAAAGTTGACTGGGAAGCAACTAGTCGGAAGAGAGTTCCAAAAGCGAAAAGTCCAAGAGAAGAAACTGTTAGTATAGAACTTGTTGGGTTATTTAATGTGTAATTTTGTATGGGACACACAGTTAGGATCAATTTCACTACTCAGTAGTAAGTGTCAATCACACTAGCCATTACTTCATGTCATGGCACACAAAGATGAGATTGATAGTAAATAGGCAAAGAGAAGAGCAGAGGGATATATATATATATATATATATATATATATATATATATATATATATATATATATATATATAAGGTATGCAGAAAATAGAAAAGAACACGGTTTATATATATATATATATATATATATATATATATATATCAAGTAATTCATCGAGTCTGAAAGAAACCTAAACAGAATGCAGAAAGCACTGGACGGCCATTTCGTCCTATATGTGGGACTCAACAGCAGAAATGAAACCCTGACAGTTAGGTTGTCAAGCAAAAACATCATACCAACTGTTCCACCGGCCTCGGTGACGAAGAGATTGCAAATCAGACTCAGTATAGCGCCGCTCGCTCACATATTCCGTGGTGGAATATCACTATATATATATATATATATATATATATATATATATATATATATATATATAGTGCACAGGTATGCAGAAAATAGAAAAGAACACGTTGGGTGCATAATCCATAGTTCCTTAGTATTTTTTTTTTTTTTTAAGAAGACAGTGCTTCATACAGAAGTAGAACTTATATTATAATATTTTTTGTTTAAAAATATGATTCCTTCGCTACATAAAAGGCTAATCTTGGCGGTCATCCTCTAGTTAGTTCGCAGTGAGGGATATTTTTATGGCGCGCCTACAACTCAGGAGGATTTTGTTTTATTATTGTCTATCTGATTATCTATCTATTTATTTGTTTATTCAAGTGGGTGTTTTATATACAAACCATATTACACTGAATTTCAATTTGTTTTTTGATGACTACAGAAAGGGTTTTTCCTATTTAATGATTTGGCCCGACTAAAGGATGACTGCCAACATTAGCCTTGAAATAGATACCCTACCCAGCCTTAGCAAAACCTCTCAGAAGATGATGAATCTATAGATAAGAATTAACTCTCTGACCACTTAATGAAGAAAACTAACCTAGCCACTCCCACAATAATGAATGTTATAACGGACCATGCCTAAAAACACACGTAAACCAAAAGATAGCTTATTCCTAAAATTTTGCTTGAAGATGAAATGGGACTAAACACCTCAATTCAACTTAATTTTAATAATCATTTAGATGGTTTCGGCTCTCGTTTTTGAAACATGAGAACTCTTATGTAGCGAAGGAATCATATTTTTAAACAAAAAAATATTATAATATATATATATATATATATATATAAAAATCCTAAAGAACCAATAACTACCGACCTAGGTTTTACCTAAAAGAATTTTCAGGGTAAACTGGCTAATATATAGAGGAAATGGATTAAATTTGACATATTGTTATTTTTAATTTATTTTGTTTAAATATTATTTTGAATGGATACTCATATTCGGGTAGAAGTCTGTCTTTTAATTAAATAGTATTTTTTATCCAAATACATCTACTGGATCACAGTGGAGTAATGGATAGCGGCTTGGATTGAGGAATCGGACAGCTGAGTTTAAATTTCAATCAAATCCGTTACATTCACTTACGTGGTAATACCCTTAGGAAAGGTATAAATCCTCTTCTTCTCTCTCCAGCTATGGGTAAATAGCAGGACATATAGCTTTGGGTTCTATAGTCTTGGATGGCAACTAGTCTAGGAGAAGGATAACTCTAAATTCAAAACCTGCGGAGGGTTGTTTGGGGACCTTGTGGCATGTAGTGCATCAGGTCTCTGTATCCGACCATTCAAAAAGTGTGGTTGGTTCTGCACAAAGCCTTCACCACTATAATCAAATCTTATGTGCTGGTGTCTGGGCTGTCCATTCCTAGGAACTGAGCTGCTTGACGCTCATACATCAAATACAATGGGAGAGTCCACCATATATATATATATATATATATATATATATATATATATATATATATATATATACACACATATAGATACATGTCATTTATTATTCATATATATATATATATATATATATATATATGGCTGTTATTATAATGCATATTGTATATGTGAATACATTCAAAATTTTTGACATATTCATGAAAGTCTATTAAACTTTGTTTGCATCTGTTAAAAGAAAAATCTTCCTGCTTCATTCATCTCTGTATCGTTTTTTCAGGGCTAATATTTTTTTATTTTTCATCAGCCAATAATAAACCTTGGGGCATGAAGTCTATACAACATTATTTCTGATTGGCTGAGGTGAATACCCAAGTGTATGAATGAAAGATTTTTTTTGATGCTTGCCTGTTTGCAGCTTAATAGAAATAGAGTCAATGAAAGAATTTGTTGCTATAAAGGGCAAAAAATTGGCAAAGATGATTCAAACATCTTTCAAGACAACCTAAATTCTTTGCCAACAGAAAATATAATAGGTAAATAAATAAATCCCCAAAATAAAATAAAATTCTAACTTTATAGGGAAAGCAACAAGATGCATACAGCACACTGAAACAAAAAGAATACATACATACATGCAAACATAGACATATTTGATTTTGTAGGCTAGATGTTGGTATATTTTTCATTGAGTAGTTAAAATGTATGGGTTCATATTGATGCAAGATAGCTTTTTTAGAAAATATAGTACAGAATACACACACACACACACACACACACACATACATATATATATATATATATATATATATATATTTACTATTAATATTTATAATTACTTGCATAATATATATATATATATATATATATATATATATATACAAAGAAATAATCACGCATAGAATCAATCAGCAATATTAATGCTATTATTGGCGACATCCATCGCTAGTAGTGTATAATGTATGCATTATAAATTATATGCTGCCTAAATGTTTTATGTTTTATATATATATATATATATATATATATATATATATATAAATATTTACTATTAATATTTATAATTACTTGCATAATTCATAGTTTATCAATGTTCCTACTCTTGCATACATGAGAGAGTAGGAACATTGATAAACTGTGAATTATGCAAGTAATTTAGGTTTTCCTGTTTTCATCTTTGCTGTTGTTATCACCATGTTTTAGCTGTTGTGTCCTCCAGCTTTCATCAAGTATATGTCAGTTTGATTAACATACAGGTAATTTTGGACTGCACACTTTATTTAATCTACAGGGTTATATTGTTTTAGTGATACGGCCTGTGTCTAGGGATATCTCATCTAGTTTTTATTTTAAGGCGGCTCAGTTATTGCTTGCCCTGTTGTCATTGAGTCAAAGTATACCCTGCACAACCCAGGAATTGAACTCACAATTATTATGTAATTTGGGATTAAGGAAGAAATGGGATGAGAAAAAAAAAAACAAATAGTAATTTGGGATTTTTCAAATAATAAAAGCGCATATCATTATTTATTTTGTATTCATACATATTTCTATGTGTGTTTATATGTATCTCGTTATCTATCTCTCTGTTCATAGCTATTTACCTATCTGTCTGTCTGTCTCACCATATTCATATCTATCTATCTATCTATCTCTCTATCTATCTATCTATCTATCACAGTCTGCTTCTTTCTTTCTTTCTATCTATCTATCTAGCTATCTCAGTCTGCTTCTTTCTATCTATCTATCTATCTATCTATCTATCTAGCTCAGTCTGCTTCTTTCTTTCTATCTATCTATCTATCTATCTATATCTATCTATCTATCTATCTATCTATCTCAGTCTGCTTCTTTCTTTCTATCTATCTCATTCTGCTTCTTTCTTTCTATCTATCTATCTATCTATCTATCTATCTATCTATCTATCTATCTCAGTCTGCTTCTATCTATCTATCTATCTGGTTATATCTACTTAATTTCTATCTGCATCTGTGTGCGCTTATAAACAGGATTTTTTGCATACACACTTACACAAACCTGTATTTTTGTTAGTTTACATATACCATATATAACTAGATATATAATCATATATATATATATATATATATATATATATATAGATATATATATATCATGTATTAGGGTAACAGATCATTATTTAAACATATTGTAATACAAAAGACTAGTTTTTTTTTCTGTTACTAAAGTGTGTATACATTTTTTGGTGGATTCTTATATATATATATATATATATATATATATATATATATATATATATATATATATATAAATATACAAATATATTGTTAAATATAACAAACAATGCATGTCTATTATGTTTGATCATGAGCTGTTCTAAACTTTATATAGTTGCTCGAATGAGCCATCTTCAGAGTGGTTATATGGACATTTCAACAAGATGTTCACCATCACCATTCTGAAGATGTCTCATGTGAGCCGAAAGCTTAGATCAAGGAACAGCATAATAAAAAATATCCAAATATTGGACAATTTTTGTCTTTATTTTCTCCCAAAGTTAAAACAACTATACAAAGTTTAGAACAGCTCATGACCAAACATAAAAGACAATCATTTCTGATATATTTAACAATATATGCTTGAATATATATACATATATATATATATATATATATATATGTAGAATAAACCCAAAAATGTACACTCTAATGGACAAAAATATGTATTCTGTAATAGAAAAGCTAGTCTTTTGTATTTTAATCACATTGCAATAACACTTTTTATTATGGGGGACATGTATTTTTGTATTGTAGACAACCGACTACATTGGCAGCCCTTGGACAAGAAATTGAAAATGCATGTACATTATTCTCACTGGACACTTTGGCCAACATTGCCCAAGCAGTAGTTTACCATACTAATAACTGTCTGGAATGTAAAGGTCACCATTTTGAGCATCTCTTGAGATTGTAGAGTCCAAATATATTGATCTTGTGATGTTTAAGTAAATTTATTACAATACCAATACAAGCTTTTCATTTCCTGAAGTGTGTATACAGTTTTTGGGCAGACTCTCTCTCTCTCTCTCTCTCTCTCTATATATATATATATATATATATATATATATATATATATATATATATATATATATATAAATATATAGTTTATAAGGTATTTATGGGTTAAATTGCTCAATATCAGAGATAGAACGTATGAAAATAAAAATGGATATTGAAGTCAACACCCTGAAGCAAAAGTCTGTTTCAAGCAATTGTCAGGTATTGAATGGTTAGACAGTGTTCACAAACTGCATTGGTCTCTTTTAACATCATATCATTGTTTGAACTTTTGTTTAAGGTAGCCACCTTTTTTATGTATTTATTTTACTTCTGTATCTCTCCATGTAAAACCCCTTATATCATGTGTTGACTGTTTACACGCGGATTCCAACCTGTGATTTCATGTAACTTTCTTCCTTTCTGAGAAATAACACTTTAATACATTCCTTTGGCAAAATACTTCTTCTTCTTCTGCCTACTATATTTGCATTTATTTCTTTTTCTAGTTCCTTTTGACTTACAATAAATGTGCTGATGAACAGGACTTCAGAGTTTTGATTGCTATAAGGCATTTATCTGGCTGTATGAGGCATGCACACATGCAAGACAGTTGCATGCCAGAAAGCAGAACACGTATATACATATACACATACATATACACTCAAACACAGATACAGATATACATTAAAGGAGAAAATATATACATATATATATATAGAAATATTTATATGTCAGTATGCATCTGCCTGAATAAATATATTCATATTTCAACAAATAATTTCATTGCAATTGTTCTGACAGGCTTTCCACCTTGGTGCATCGACTGCAAGAGTTTAAGCATGCTACTAGATCAACAACATGGTTTCACTATTTTACTGTTGAACTAACTAGCTACAACTGTCAGTTCAATTCTAGTAGTTTCTTTTCTCACTCTTTTTGCCTGTAGAACTCCTTTCTGATTTCTTGGTTCCCTGGCACCTACAATCTTCTAAAACTTTAATGAAATGCCAGTCACCATTGTCTGTCTTCCTGAAACTGTTCTTTTATTGTCCTTTCAACTCACCAAGGTTATTCTCATTCTCTTCCATTCCTAGTAACCTGTTGTGTCTTGACATCACCAACCTTGCTTGGCTTGAAATGATTAAAAAAATAAAGAACATCTATCTGTTTTTCTGTCTATGTTATTACACATGCACAAATATATAATATATATATATATATATATATATATATATATATATATGTGTTTGTGTGTGTTTGGTTGTGAGTATGTGCATGTATGTGTGTGAGTGACTATAAGTAGTTACTATTGTTTACACATATATATCTGTGTGTGATATATTTACATGTTTTCATATATAGATGTTTATGTGCCCGTATGATATATATATATATATATGTATGTGTGTGTGTGTGTGTGTGTGTGTGTGTGTGTGTGTGTGTATGAAGGATTAACTGAGTAGTTGTGTTTGCTTATCTGTGTGCATACACCCTGCCAAAAATATACATATGCATGTGTGTGATATATACCTATATGTGTATATATATATATATATATATATATATATATATATATATATATATATATATATATATAGGCAATTGTGTATTTTGGCAACAAACCCTTTTTCATATAATGTTTGTTAAAAATGACATATGACCAAAAAGAAAAAAATTCTAAGAACACAAGAACAATTAAATAAAACCTTAGCTGCACTAACTTGTCAGTCATTTTTAACAAAACTATATATATATATATATATATATATATATATATATATATATATATATATATATATATATATATATATATATATATATATATATATATATATATATATATATATATATATATATATTCTGTTTAATAAATAAACATAGTGACTACTCAAATATGAGTATCAACAAAAAATAAGGTTTAAAGTATATATATATATATATATATATATATATATATATATATATATATATATATATATGTGTGTGTGTGTGTGTGTGTGTATGAAGGAGTAACTGAGTAGTTGTGTTTGCTTATCTGTGTGCATACACCCACCAAAAATATACATATGCATGTGTGTGATATATACCTATATATGTATATATATATATATATATATATATATATATATATATATAATTGTGTATTTTGGCAGCAAACCCTTTTTTCATACAATATTTGTTAAAATGACATATGACCAGAAAAGAAAAAATTCTAAGAACACAAGAACAATTAAATAAAACCTTAGCTGCACTAACTTGTCAGTCATTTTTAACAAAACCACTATATATATATATATATATATATATATATATATATATATATATATATATATTCTGTTTAATAAATAAACATAGTGACTACTCAAATATGAGTATCAACAAAAATAAGGTTTAAAATATATATATATATATATATATATATATATATATATATATATATATATATATATATATATACATGTTTGTGTGCGGGAGTGCATAAGAATGGCGGAGGAAGAGCTTGGGTATATGCAGGTACAAATATTTCAAATTCTTTACCAGATTAAATTATTCCACTTTTTAACATTTGTATTTGAGATTTTCGCTCCAAATCGAGTGTTCCATCTTTTAAAAAAAAAAAAAAAAAAAGGAAAAAATATCCATTTTATTCTAACAAGTCTTCATATTCCAAAGAAAAAATATTCCAAGACACTTTGAAATCAAAATTATCCTACTTTCTTGATTAACATATAAAATCTTGAAATATTGGAATAAACTTGCCAATGTTGAGAGTGATTTCATACACTGGGCTGTCGACCCTTTACAGTGGAAGCCTCAAAAAAATCTTTATCTCCATCCATATTGAAAGTACAAATAAATCAGAAAATTATTATATTTTTTTTTATAAAACAGTATCTGTGCTATGCCAAGTATTTGTAATGACAGACGGCGGCTTCTTTAGTCTAATAAACAACTTTATTTCTTTTCAAATCGTAATATTTTCTGGTTTGGAAATGATAAAATTTAATATGCATGGTTGAAAGAGATCATTGAGAAAGTGGTTTCTTCATCTATTTATTGTATTTCTTCAGCTTGTGAGTGATCATGTTTCTCCACAACATCCTATCCCTTGTAGCTCTTAGGAATGTTTGTTCCTATTCCAAGCCTTCCATCTCCTGTTAACCATCCGTTAACACAAGCCCATCAAGCTGCTTTTCCCTGTCTCTTTTTCCTTTGATATGTCCTGTGAGTGTCAAATTTGCCATGCCCTTCTTCCTTATGTGCTTGCAGTTAAATCCCATTGAGAACATTGGTTTTCATTTGATCACTGAAGTTAAGCAGTGTCATGTACTGTCAGTACTTAGATGGGGGACTGCTTGGAAACACTTAAGGGACCGACAATTCAAAATGTGCTTCAGCTTTAAATAAAAGACAAAGAGTTGATAAACCATAACAAAAAGAAGTCAATCAATTGAACTTATTATGTGTCTCTTTTTTATAAGTTTTTTTTTATTTCTATTTTTTTCGTTGCTTACATGCTTCATCCATGGAATTCTCATTATCCTTCTGTAGAACCACATCTCTGTTGCTTTTAGTCTTCTCTTCATGTGTGAGGTTGTCCATTATTCACTGCAATATAAGAGGATTTGATGGGCATGTGGCCATGCACATTCTGACCATGAGACCTGGGTTCGAATCTGACCATGGACAATTTGTCAGGAAGAAAACTTCCTGATGTTATCAGACTGGTGGGGTTGATCCCAGCATGCAGCACCTTTGGAAAGTGCCTGAAAATCATACTATGGGTTGACCCAAGCCTTGTGAATGAAACTGTATAGACAGAACCCTTGGGTGTCGTCGGTAGCTGTGCTAGCATGAAGTCACAAGTCATCATGGCTGAGGGTTTGAGCATGCTGGCCTTGTTCAAATTATTGATCACACTA